AACTCCTGACCAAGGCAGAGTAGAATTTTACTGAGCAACAGAAAGAAAGCTCTTAGCTGCAAGAAGGGACCTGAAAGCAGGGTAGCCATCTGTGAGGGTGAGTCCAGGGCTTTTATGGGCTTCGAATGGGGGAGTGCATGCTAATTGGTCCATGGGTGGGCTTGGAAGAAGCACCATTTGATTAGATAAAGGAAATCATTCAGAAGGAACCAATTGAAAGAGAGCGGGTAAGACGGATGGAAGTTCTCACTCCAGTCATGGACTCGATCCAGAACTGGCAGTTTGGTGTTCAGGCTCTAAAGTGTCCTTGGCTTGAAGGTCAGGTTTCACCGGGGACTGGTCCGTGTCTGTCTGTGAACTTGTCTGTCTCCTGTTGCTATCACTGTTATTATCCCGTTTTACAGGTGAGGAAACTCAGGCACTGAGGGTTATGAGACTCGCCCAGGGTCATGTAGCTCATAAACGCCGGACTGGGATTTGAATGTGGCTGTGGGGCACCAGCAAACATGCTCTTAATTGCTTCGTTGGACTCTGTGACGTGCACTGCACAGCAAGCGCTGTGGGCTCAGTTTTCGGGACACAGGGACACACAGACCTGTTGATGGAGTGGCGGAGACACTGGGCAGAACAGCAGGGACACACCTGCGGTATTCATGAGGTCAGGCGGCAGTGGGGGCAGGCGCGGGCCCAGCACTCCCGCGTCCGATCCAGTGATCTTGCTTCCCTCACTGCTGCCCATTCTCACGTGAGCCTCAGCCCTGGGCCAGCCACGCGGAGCTCAGGGTCTTGAGGCAACCCAGGGTCTGCAGTCACCCACCCACCCCTGTTCTGGAGCCTGGGGCATTAGGACATGGGCATGTCACCATCTCACCCTTCCTGGGAAGGCCTGGCACACGGGGAGGTCAGCGTCCTCCACGGATGGTGCTAGGATTTGTTTGACTCTGGAAAAATACAACCCTTCTGGTAAGAAGTAGCCAAAGCCATGGCGATATCTGCTGTTCGGCATCAGGAGGCCTCACCTGGTCTCCGGCATCGGGAGCCTCACCTGTTGGAACCCCCCGGGCAGGAGTGAGCAGCGTGGCGGCTTCTGTCTAAGTGCCGTCCACTGCTGTGTGGTCCATGGGGGAAAACTGTTGGAAACATCCCAGCTTGGCTTCTCACCTCCACCCTGTGTCCCACTCACTGAGGTTTTAGAGAGATGCCTTTGCCTGCATGGTGGTGTGTGAGTCAGGGCTCCACTTCTGCCTGGGTGGTGTGGGCAGGGCCCCCCCAACCCTCGACTTCAACAGGGGCCGCCTGGTTTAAAGCGTGAACAACTCAATCCACTCTCATGATGTATCTGAGAGTGTCCAGGGCACACCCAGGTCGCCCACCATCCTGAGGACCAAGACATCCCACCTCCCAGGTCCAGGTCAGTTGCTTGGGCTGGGGCCAGGACAATGGGGCGTTTTTTCAAGCTCCTTGGGTGCTGATGGACGTGTGGTCAGGCCTGAGAACCGTCAGCCTCCAGACCATGCAGCGAGAGTCCGGTTCTGTTGCTTTTGATCCCTCACGGACCATAGACCCCACAGCCTTTACAAAGGGCCCCGCAGACGTTCGACGTCCACTGGAAGGATTCTCGGGACACAGGCTGATGGAGAAAGTGGGGTGCACTCCACGCTGCCCTCCAGCTATGGCTTTGTTGAGATAGTGGGTGCCCCAGGGACCGGGGTAGGGAATGGATTACAGAGACCTGAGGCGACCTTGACTTCTACAGCACCAGTGTCATGAGCAGAGCCTTCCTTTAACTTTTAGTTCCACAAATGTGGCCCTTAATTGTTTATGGAAAAGTTAAGAATAAAAACGCAAGTGCTGTCTACAGTTTTCTGGGCCGGGCCCTGGGCAGGCCTCTCTCCAGCTGCCCTCCTGGACAGGCAGCATCGTCATTGCTGGGAGAGCCACGTCCCTGAATGTGACCGAGGGATGGCTTCGCCCGTCGTGGCCCCTCTGCCTGCCTGGTGTGGGCGATGCAGAACAACTCTTGGCTAATAAATGTGCCGTGTTTCCCAGACAGGAGACAGCTTGGCCTAGCGCATAAATAAGACAAGCCTTTTTCAAAAAGAAATCTGTATTTAAGGACGTGTTTGGCTGTGTTCTTCGCCTCCCGTAAAGGTCACCCAGATAGATTTTTCCTTCTTTAGCATTGCAGGCTGCGAAGAACTGGGCATTTCTATTCTTCCTCCATCCAGTGAACCTGGGGGACTAAATTAGATTCTGAAATTGAGTGTGCAGTAGAGTCGGTGAGTTACCATAATGGGAGGGTACTGCTTCTCACCTTGCAAGGAGCGAGGTCATGATAATATGAAGCGAAGTGGATTAAAAATAAAACCAAAGGTATTTATTTATGACCTGCTCAGAATTGGATTGGCATCCGTGTAAGTTGCATCTAATGGTGAAAGACAGCAGATTGATGTTGATATGTCCCCGGGGACTTTTAGCCAGTGAAATTTGCTCCCTGAATTCAATTTAAAGGCCCACTGAAAGTATCCAAAATGCAAAAGGAAATGGAATTGAGGAAGTGGGGGTGGAAGCCCAGCAACTGCGAAATAGCAATTAGAGGACAGTCCTGGTGTGTAACCCTCCTGATGTGGGAACGGAGAGGGGACGGTCCTGGTGTGTAACCCTCCTGATGTGGGAACGGAGAGGGGACGGTCCTGGTGTGTAACCCTCCTGATGAGGTGGCCAGGAGCGGAGAGGGCGGTCCTGGTGTGTAACCCTCTGATGCAAAGATAAGAGTGGCTCGGGATGGTCAAAGGGGCCTGCCTCAGTGAGGTGGGGCTGGTGACACGCAGACCAGCCTCGGCACAATGGATGTAAGCCTGGGTCATCTGTCCAGGCTCGGTGCCTGCACAGCTCAGCTCAGCTCATCCTGGCTGTGCCTATGTAGAAAACTTGCCATGTAATGTGGGAACGGAGAGGGGACGGTCCTGGTGTGTAACCCTCCTGATGCGGGAATGGAGAGTGTGGCTCCGGGATGGTCAAGGGGCCTGCCTCAGTGAGGGTGGGGCTGGTGACACGCAGACCACAGCCTCCGGCACAGCCAGGATGTAAGCCTGGGTCATCTGTCCAGGCTCGGTGCCTGCACAGCTCAGCTCAGCTCATCCTGGCTGTGCCTATGTAGAGAGCTTGCCATCCTTATCCCAGATGAAGAAGAGTGTAGCTTGGAGAGCCAGGCCCCCTGCCCAAGACCTCCTGGACAAGAAGACAGGATGTGAACTGCAGTGCCCAGTTACCCCCCCATTCCCCTCCATGCCAGCCTTGCTGGACTGTGTTTTCTCGAGGCAGGCGACATGGGCATCCTGAGCCTGTGGCCCTCCCTGTCCCTTGTCACCTGCTAGGATCTGGGGAAGGGCAGTTTGAGCACCCTCCAGCACCCTCAGGGCTCCTCAGCCGCCTTCCTGACTTCCACGATTCAGCTTCCGTTTGGGGTGGGAGGTAGGAGAAGCCGGGGAGCCTGCAGGTGGCCCCCGGGGGCAAATTATCAAGGACCAGAGCCTGCAGGGCCATCCGAGCAGTGTCGACCCCTCCCTCAGGGAATCTGCCCAGCTTCACGACGGAGGCTGGGCTTGGGCTGGCCCTGACCCGATGGTCCCGTTTCTCTTCTGAGAACCCCCACCCCAGGAGGCTGTCCTGGCCACTCAGCCCTCTCTGATCCCTACTTCTGCCAAGCCCCCTGTGTGTTGGGGTCCCCCGAGACCTGGCCTGTCCTTGGTGGGCCGCCAGCTGCTGTGGATGTGGGCGTGGTCACGTGGGAGGCAGGGCTGTGGGGCGGTGATCGTGGAGGGGGTTCCCTGAGGACCTGTGCTTTTCCTTCCCCGTCCTGGCCTCAGTGGACATAGGTCAGTCTCCAGCTCCCAGTGTCCGCAGGCTTCCAGACGAGCTCTGGAGACAGTCCCCCGTGTGTCTTTTGGGGGGTGACTCAGTGCCTCCATAGCCCACCTGAGCTGAGACACGGCCGAGCTGAGACACGGCCCAGCTGCAGGCCAGAGGAGCCCGCCCAGCACTCCCAGTGCGCCCAGTGCACCTGCCCAGTGTGCCTGGTGAGCCCAGTGAACCCGCCCAGTGAGCCTCATAGGCCCAGTGTGCCTACCCAGCACTCCTAGTGGGCCAGTGTGCCCACCCAGAGTGCCCAGTGAGCCCAGTGAGGCCAGTGTGCCCACCCAGAGTGCCCAGTGAGGCCAGTGTGCCCACCCAGTGAGCCTGGTGTGCCTACCCAGTGAGCCCAGTGTGTGCCCACCTAGTGCTGGCTGTGCTGCTGGCTGTGTGAGTGTTTTCCCAGTCTGTCCAGCAGCTGTGACAGGCTGGCAATGGTGGCCCCATTTTGCAGAGGAGGAAGCTGGGCCTCAGGGTGGAGTCATCGTCCCAGGGCCCCAGGTTGGACCTGGACCTGAAGCTGGGTTTGGTGGAGTCCCCCACCCCCACCCGCTGGTGCGAGGCAGCATGGAGGGGGGGCCAGGTGGGGCTTTGCTTTGTTCCTGGGCTCCCGGGGTGGGCCTGAGCTGGCTCCATTCTGTGGTCCCCACATGTGTGGGCTTCACTTGCTGACTGTGCTGCTGCCCGGAGGGGTCTCCTGATGCACAGAAGTCTGTGCTTAGTGACAGTTCCAGGGGTGCTGCGGTACTTCCTAGGCTGATACAGGCTTTAGGGGAGTGGGAAACCTCTGGGCGGAGACTGCAAAGCTGCAACAGGGCCCCGAGAGCTGGGTCTCCCCCCGAGGGGCAGGAGATTCAGTTAAGTGAAGCGCTGGGCAGCCCCTGCCACGACATCTCAGATGTCAGACCTGGAGCTGCGCAGTAGGCCTCCCGCCTGGCTGCTGGGATGGGGCGGGGGCTGTGAGACGAGGCCTGGGGCCCTGCTGGGCTTCAGCAGGGAGCAGCTGCCGGCTGGGCGAGTTTTCCTGGGTCACCCGCCCTCCACTGTGGGTCACCTCCTCTCACCTGGACTTGTCTCTTTCTCCCCAGGAGCTGCTGCTTTTTCTCCAGAACCTGCCCACAGCCCACTGGGATGACGAGGACATCAGCCTGTTGCTGGCCGAGGCCTACCGCCTCAAGTTTGCCTTCGCCGACGCCCCTAATCACTATAAGAAATGAGCCTGGGCCCACCTGCAGCTGGCCACACTGTCCCGGGTGGCGCGCCCCACCGGCCCGGCCGCTGGTAGGCCCCTGTGAGCTGGTCCTGGGCTGCCAGAAGGCCCTGGGCTGGCCCCACCCTCCAGGGGAGCTGGCGAGGATGGGCCCCAGACTTGGTCTAGGGCTGACAAGGACAGGGACAGCCTCTGTTTTCTGGAATACCAAAGAGAGCCAGGGGAGGGCCCCGGCTTCGGCGGCCAGAGGCAGGTCAGGGGTCCCCTCGCCCTTTCCCTGCAGTGTCCTTGCCAAGTGACTGCCTCCTGTAGCCCCCAGTCTGGGGCAGCCCCGGAGGCCGACCCTCTCGGGATGCCTGCTGTCTCCAGGGCCGGAACAAGGCAGTGGCCATCTCATACCTACTCTGAAATGCAAAACTGCTTTTCTGTTGAGTGAAAGAATAAAATATAGACAAAATCTAGACCGAGACGTTGCACTGACCCGGGGTCTCTGTGCTGTGAGATCCCCTCACAGCCATATTTCACTGCTGCTGGCGCTTTCCCGCCGTGTGTTTTCCTGCCGTGTGTTTTCCTGCTTGCTTGGTTTAAATGTGGCTGGGAAGCTGAAGGCTGGAGTCCGACCCGTGAACCCGCCGAGTGCCTGGGAGGCCGTGGGACCAAAGGCTGGGAGCAAAGGGAGGCCTCGCCATCGCCTTACTTTCCACCTCGAACCTCTTTTACAAGAGAAAACTCCCCACCTCCCTGAGGTCCAGGGCCAAGTGGCCCCACCATGCAGGTAGGGGCTGGCCTCAGACAGAGCCCCTGGAGACCCACCCAGGTTGTTGGGCCATGTTGGGCTGGCAGACAAGGTAGGGGGTTGCGGCCCTGTCATCAAAGCCCTGAACCACAGTGCTCTTCTCACCACAGCCTGGAAGTGGAATGAGCTTTTGGAGGCTCCCCGGGCTTGCTGTCCTTGTCCAGATCTGCCAGGGGTGGGGGAGGTGTGACTGGTTCCGCTGTGGACGGGTTCTGCCCTGGACCAGTTCCCACTGTGGACCAGTTCTGCCCTGGAGTGGTTCCGCTGTGGACTGGTTCCCACTGTGGACCAGTTCTGCCCTAGAGTGGTTCCGCTGTGGACTGGTTCCCACTGTGGACCGGTTCCTGCTGTATACCGGTTCTGCCCTGGACTGGTTCTGCCAGGGGTGGGGGAGGTGTGACTGGTTCCGCTGTGGACAGGTTCCGCCCTGGACCAGTTCCCACCGTGGACCAGTTCTGCCCTGGAGTGGTTCTGCTGTGGACTGGTTCCCACTGTGGACCGGTTCCTGCTGTATACCGGTTCTGCCCTGGACTGGTTCCGCCATGAACTAGTTCCCGCTGTGGACTGGTTCCCACTGTATACCTGTTCTGCCCTGGACTGGTTCCGCCGTGGACTGGTTCCCGCTGTATACCGGTTTTGCCCTGGACTGGTTCCCACTGTGGACCGGTTCCCGCTGTATACTGGTTCTGCCCTGGACTGGTTCCCACTGTGGACCAGTTCCTGCTGTATACCGGTTCTGCCCTGGACTGGTTCTGCCCTGGACTGGTTCCGCCCTGGACTGGTTCTGCTGTGGACTGGTTCCCACTGTGAACCAGTTCTGCCCTGGACTGGTTCCGCCGTGGACCGGTTCTGCCGTGGACTGGTTCTGCTGTGGACTGGTTCCCACTGTGAACCGGTTCTGCCCTGGACTGGTTCTGCCCTGGACTGGTTCCGCCGTGGACTGGTTCCCACTGTGGACTGGTTCCCACTGTGAACCGGTTCTGCCCTGGACTGGTTCCGCTGTGGACTGGTTCCTTGGGGCTCTAAGTGTGGAAGGGCGCAGACCCGGCCCCTGCCCAGCGCTCTGCTAGGGCTGTGTCTCCAGTGGCCTTGGGACTGGCTCCCCAGTATTCCCTCAGTGTGTCACAGGCCACATGGCCCCTGGAATGTGGGCAGGGTCACAGCCACAGCCTCTCTGATCCCTGAGCCCAGGACAGGCTCATGTCCTCAGCGACCCACTGGTGACCGACTTCTCAGACTCTCTGTCCCTCAGGAGCAGCCGTGTCCTCTCCCAGGCCCTGGGACACTGCTGGAGACTGTGGGACATACAGGCATAAGTGATGTGTGTGTTTCTGCTTCTGTTTTAAAAATCCAGGGTCATTACACACAGCATGGAAATTAGCACAAAATGCTGTGCAAACGTCAGATGCTCCCAAACCAGCAAAGGGATGGGCTTGTCTCAGATCAGATGTGGGCTCGCCTTGCACCTGCCTTGCCTGTCCCCACCCCAGGGTCAGGGGTTCCTCAGACCAGCCATGCCTCCTCCTCCTGCCACCTCCTTTTCTAGATGGGGAGGGGATCCCGTCACAAGAAGAGCCGCCCCCACGGCCGTGTGCAGGAAGCCCCGGGTCGCTTTGCTGAGATCAGCCCTGGGAGGATCCCCTTCTCTAGCTCGGATTGCGCTGTGTGGCCAGAAGGTTGTGGACACAACTCACCTGCTTCTTGAGGTGGTTTATGTTTTAAACAGGACGCTCCACGGAGTTCAGCCCTGTGTGCGTTTCATCTCCACATACACGTAAACGCCAAGACTGAATGCGAGGGGTGTTGGCCACGGGCCTTGAGTCTGAGCAGATCCATCTGGAATGTTCGGGGTGTGCTGTCTGGATGTGACGTGCTAAAAACATGGAATAAAGATCAGTGACAAAGCCGCGGCCTTGGCCTGTGATTCGAGGACTTGCCCATCGAGGACGGGGCACCCTGGCCCAGCCCTGCTGAGAGTCTGAGCTCAGGGCCATTGCAGCGCACCAGGTGGTGCCATTACAGCACACCAGCGTGGGCACAGCAGCATCTGTGGTCTCACTGCCACCCACAGGACCTCTCAGGGAGATGGGGCTGCAGCTGCACAGGTGGTGCAGGATGCCACTTGCCCAGGCGGGGCAAGACTCAGGCACCGGTCTGATCCCCGAAGGCCAGCTCTGCACTGGCTGGAACATGGGAGTGCGGGGTCCAGGCTGGCCCTGCCAGGCTTCTGCACAAGGGACTTCCCCTTGGGCCACGTCTGTCAAGCACCTGCTGTGAAAAGGGCTGTTCCAGGGGAGGCACCAGGGTCTGGGGTCTACCCCCTCTCTCCTGGGATATACTGGCCTCGCCCCAACCCATACACTGAAACGCCCTCCTTGCCCTTCAAAGGGCCTCAGTTTCTCAGGGAAGCTTTGCAGGTGCGCCGCACCCCTCTGAGTACCCCTGTCTGGGTCCCCACCCTCGGGTACCCCACACCCCCCTGGGTGCCCCACCCTCAGGACCCTCCCCTGGCAGCACTTGGCTTTCCGCTGCCTTGTGCTGCCTACTGCCTGGGTGTGGGGTGTGCTGGCCCCGCGGGTGGGCTGGTGGCTCCACAAAGTGGGAGCAGTGCCTTCCCCTCTCTCCGTGCATGGCTGCCTTCCTGGGCCCGGTGGCCCGGCACGTGGGCTGACCTCACTGATGCCTGGCTGTGGTCTGCAGGGCTGTGGGCTGCAGGATGGAGCCTGGCTGTCCCCAGCAGCCACCAGGCGTTCAGCTCCTGACTCCAGGTCCCAGCCCCGCAGCTGCCATTTGCCTTCCCGGTTCCCCGGAGTTCGCAGCTCAGCAGTTGGCTCCTTGGGCCCAGCTTGGGATCTTCACAGCCTGTGCTCACTCTGCTCCTGCAGGTAGCCCGGGCCCAGCGGCCCTGAGATCAGTCCCTGACCTGCGGTGGCTGCTGTCCCATGCACCTCACGCTGCCCGGTCCCGGGGAGAGGCTCGGCCTGCTGGCACCACTGCTGTGCCCTTGGCAAGGTCAGGCACGTTGGGGAGCGTTGGGGTCCTGGGGAGTCAGAGAGGGGAAGTCTGTGGTTTGCGCTTTTGGAAGAACTAGCAGGTGGGACGCTTCTGTGCATTGTCACTGATGAATGGAAACGGGAGGAATCCCGTCTGTGTTTGAGCAGACCCGCTCCACTGAGGACATGGGGACAGGCTGCAGAATGACAGGTGCCATCCCAAGCTACAGGACACCAGCCTCCCTGCCGTCCTCCAGAGCTGGAGGCTGTTTGTCTGCCCTGCGGCCCCAGTGATCTGCCCTCAGGGCCGCAGTCCTGTGGAGTTCGCCAGAGACTCAGACCCCTGGGGGTGTGGGCCTCCCCGGCCCCTGCCCACTGTTCCTCTTCTCTGTCAGCTCCAGCCCCTTGGCTTCCCTCTGGTGCTGCACTTAGTCCTGCGGGGCTGCGGGCTGCTTGGGCTGGTCCCCACCCAGCTGTGAGGCCTTTCCACACCCACGCTGCCGCTCCTTGGTGTGGAGGGTCCTCAGCACAGGATGGCCTCCACCCAGGAGTGCACACGGCCACTTACATGGTCCTGTGTGAGCCACCCAGCCGGAGTCCATTTTGTTGACAAGATGAGGATGGTTATTCTTACTTTTTTATTTCTTGAGACAGGGTCTTGCTCTGTGGCCCAGGCTGGAGTGCAGTGGTGTGATCTCGGCTCACTGCAACCTCTGCCTCCTGGGTGCAAGTGATTCTCATGCCTCAGCCTCCTGAACAGCTGGGATTATAGGTGCCCACCATGACACCCGGCTAATTTTTTGGGTATTTTTAGTAGAGACAGGGTTTCACCATGTTGGTCAGGCTGGTCTCGAACTCCTGACCTCAAATGATCTGCCAGCCTCGGCCTCCCAAAGTGCTGGGATTATAGGTGTGAGCCATCGCGCCCGGCCTGATTATTCTTTTAGGAAAAAAAATTATATTCAACTTCCAGATAAGTGGATGTAAATATAAAAATCACCCCCAAATACTCAAAAACGCATGGCTATTTTTGTTATTGGCAATGGTAAAAGGCTTTCTGAGCATGATGCCAGGGGCAAAAACAAGATAGAAAAAGACTAATAATATATATCTGTAGTGCATGCTACCAAAGCAAATGGCAGGGACCACTAAGACCCAGCCTCTGTCACCAAAGACAAATGTGAACGACATGCCGGTTCACCTAGGCAAGGCAGATTCAGATTCCCCAGCATGTGGAGATCCTGGAAATCGATAAAAATGGGCACAGCACAGAAAATGGGCAGTTCACAAAAGTGGTGCAAGTGATAAGAAGTTCACATCACCAATAGTCACAGAAATGAAAAAATATTCACCAGCCGTCTGCCTGCACCAGGGCTGGCTGCGTGACCTTGGGCTGTGTCTATGATCATCTGTTATGTAGCAGGAGAAAACAAATACCCTCTCTCTTTTAGTCTGTATTTTTTTCTGAATATTTTGCAGTGATTTTTCGTTGTTGCTGTTTTTACATTTAAGCTGTGAAGCGGCAGACACAACACAAACCTAGGTCTCGGAGAATCATCCCAAAGCAGACACCCCATGTGATATGGTTTGGGTGTGTCCCCACCCAGTTCTCATCTTGAATTGTAGCTCCTGTAATTCCCATGTATGGTGGAAGGGACCTGGTGGGAGATAA